GTCATTCTAAAAATATGGAGCTAGGGCTACTTACAAATGTTGCTTGAAAAGTTGAAATCCTGGATGCTTTTCGCCCATTTTTATAAAGCATGGTGCCTTTCCTTAACATTTGTCTAAAAAATTCTGGCATTTTCTCCCAAAATTTTCAAAAAGCCATTCAAATCTTGCAGCTTTATTTCTTTACTCTGAGGCCATGTTTCAATCCTGTAAAAGTTAAATTAATTAAATTTTCTCAAAAATACTTTATTTCAGTAACTGACAACTCACAAGGTACAGATTTTATAAATTAAAGCATGGTGTACATAATACATATTGGTATATATATATATATATAAATATATATATATATATAAATATATATATATGTATATAATAGTTAAAGTATAATTTTAACTGTATTTTGTATTTGTCTGTTGAAAAACTGTTAAAAACTGTTGTTTTTTTCAAAAACCATAAACAACAAGTATAAATAATGCACATAGGAAAAATCGCTAAATTTAAGGGAAAATTGGTTTCAAAAGATAAGGCTAACTGAACCATGGAGGGACCCCCATTTTTCCGTGGAGTATTGATCAAGATCACATTCAATAGTTTTGTTTTTTAACTTCCATTGCATTTTCTAAATTACAGTCTACACATGTTTCAGAATTATTTGATAAAAATTAAACCTGATTTTTGGTAACAGATCCGAACAGCAAGGTTCCATTCTTGAAATCCGTGAGTTCTCCGTCTATGGGTAAAAAGTTTAAAAGTAAATATTGATGATTTTTTACTAATTCATATCAATGTTTTTATCTCTGCACTTCGTTAAATTTAACGAAGTGCCGAAAGCTTGCTTTTAACTGCCTCATTCACTTATGATTGAAGAAAAAAAGCAGAAATAAAATTTATTGATTGGATGAATGACAAACATTTTCGTATTTGATATATTTTCAATAAAAAATAAAACAATATCAAATGTTGCAAATTCGAATTTAATTATATACCAGTCGACGCATTGATATTTGATGAATGGATTTATAAATTGCAATTATCAATTCAGACTTCATACAGAATACAACTACGCATGTTAAAAGGAACTGCAAACCGTAAGTTTAAGTGACCCTCCTTGTAATTAGTTGCATGATGATCCAAAAAGCAAATCTGCCCCTTTAGTAAAAGTAAATTCAACTTATATGAAGTCTGACCGCGTCAACCTTGTTGCACCGGCTAGTCCTGTCCATAGAGCTAGGTACAGTACAAACTGGGACCGAAAAGGTTGACCCGGCTCGGAAATTCAAATGTACTACGGCTGGACGTGAAAGGTACCCTTGAAACCTTTACCTGATCTCTAATGTGGAAAGTTGTTTTCTAAGGTTAAAAGTAAGTTTTTAAAACTGTTAATTATGTTTTCTTTTAGTAGAAATGTGCAAGTCACATTTTGTAAAAAAACAACATGCTATAATTGAAAATAAACAGTTTAAAAAGTAAAAACATTAAAATTTAATTCCAACTTGAAAAGACACCATGTGTCAGGGTACCATTGGGAATCAGGTTTTGTCATCTTTGCATGAAGAGTGACTTGAATATATGCCCAGAGTACCTTGAAGAAGTTAGCAAATAAACTGCTTAATATTTATTCAACTCAAACTCTAATTTTCTAATTTTCTAATTTTCTAATTTTTTAATTTTCTAATTTTCTAATTTTCTAATTTTCTAATATTCTAATTTTCTAACTTTCTAATTTTCTAATTTTCTAATAATCTAATTTTCTAATTTTCTAATTTTCTATTTTTCTAATTTTCTAATTTTCTAATTTTCTAATT